GGAGAGGAGAGGAGAGGAGAGGAGAGGAGAGGAGAGGAGAGGAGAGGAGAGGAGAGAAGAGAGGCTATTCATTTGTTAGGGAACTACAAGGATCATCAAGTTGAGCTGCCTTACAAGTTCAGGGCTGATCAAATTAAACCACGTTATTAAGGGCATTGTCCAAATGCCTCTTAAAACACTGACAGGCTTAGGACATTGAATGCCTCTAGGAATGCTGAGGTTACACGTGGTGCTGGTAGCCTGGTGTGCATCTACAGTGTGAGCTGCAGCTGAGCTCCTTGGGGGGCAGGAGGCCAAGCCAAAGCCTGAGGCAAGAGGCAGGGAACTGCCAAGTAGCCTCAAGGAGAGACGACAGGAGCTGACAACTCCAGACTTTCCCAGGCTTAGACTGTGAGGGATAAAAGTCTAGGGTTTCCTTTGACCAGGGTCCCTCCTTGCAGGCAGTAGCTTGGGCTCTTTTGTTATTTAGTTATTGTACCAAGATTAAATTGTTTTAGGGATCTGGACACGAGACACTGCTGTGGGACACCTGAGGTCTAGTGGGTGAGCAAAACCGGTGTGACTGTGTGAGTGTGGAGTGTGGCTACAAAGGGACCCCTGTCCCAGCTCAGGTCGTGTGAGTGGCTTCTGGATAGTTGAACAGGGAAGTTTGCTTAACTGGAAGCCCGCTTCAGTGTTTAAGCACCCTCTCAGTTAAGAAATGTTTCTTCATGTCCAGTCTAAATCTCTCCCGGTTTTGAACCATTCCCATGAGTCCTATCAGTGGATACCAAGGAGGTGAGCTCAGTACTTCCCTCTCCACACCTGCTACTCAGGGAGCTCTAGGAAGCAATGGGGACACCCTTCAAGTCTCCTTTTCTCTGAGCTAGAAAAACTCAGAGTCCTCAGATGCTGCTCATAGGATATTCCTTACAGCCTTCTCACCACTTTCTTGCCCTCTTCTGGACAACATTAAGGGACCTGAACACTTTTCTTAAATTTTGGGGCCTAGAACTGCATGCAGGGCTCTGGGCGAGGCCACACCAACACTGGATACAGCAGGACAACCACCTTTTTGACTGGCTGGTCATGCTGTGTTTGATACACCACAGGTTGGGGTTTGCCCTCTTGGCTGCAAGACACACAGCTCTAACAGCTTCTATTCAGCTGTTGCTGGCCAGCACCCTCAGATCCCTGCATGCAGGGTTGTTCTCCAGCCACTCCTGTCTCAGTCTATACTTGTGCCTGGTGTTACTTTGTTCCAGGTGCAGAAAATCCAGCATTTTGACTTTTTAAAATCCATACCATTCATCACAGCCCAATGCTCCAATGTACCTAGATCCCTCTGCAAGGTCTCTTGTCCCTCAGGAGCATCAAGACCACCTCCCAGTTTGGTACCATCAGCATCCTGCTAATGGTGCATTCAACTCCTGCATCCAGGCCATTGATAAATACATTGAACAAGACTGGCTCTGGAACTGAAGAGCAAGGAACAGAACTGGGGATCAGTCACCAGCCAGATGAAGCCTCAAAACAACCAACATTAATGAACCAACATCTTCAAAAGGCATGAATAATAAATGTGCTCTTGGAAAAAGTTTCTCTTTAGTGGTCATGGCAATAATGCTGTTACTGCTGCCTGAACACTGTAAGTCCCATACAGACATCCTACCTGCCATCTTGTCTGCTGATTGTGTATCCAAACAGAGGATTGTTGACAAAGCTGATGTTCACTCCAACTAAAGGGGTCCCATCTGCTGTCATCACCTGGCCTCGAATCACACATGCATGTCTGCAAGAAAGAGAAAAATAATATGAAATAGTAAGTTTTTTGGACAAATGCAGTTTCTTCCTCTGTTGATGTGGCTAGGAATTCCTATGGATTAGAAAGCCAAGGCCTTTATAACCTGTAAAGCTGGAGGTCATACCATGTGTTTTGATGGTGGGATGCTGCCCTTGAAGGCTTTCTCAGGCATTGTGTAAAAACCTTGGATAATCAAAGTGAGGTTTACAATTACCCTATTATATGAAAGCAACTGCTGCAGCATATCCTTAAGTATAAATTTCTGTAGGATTTACAACATCACACCGGAATTTCACACAGTCACAGAATCTCCTGACATGGAAGGGACTCACAAGGATCACTGAGCCCAGCTCCTGGCCCTGCACAGAACAGCCCTCAAATCATACCATGTTCCTGAAAGTGCTGTCCAAACACGTCTGCAACTCTGGCAGGCTTGGTGCCACGACACTCCATCAGGAGCCTCTTCCAGTGCCCAACCAGCCTCTGAGTGATGAACCTTTTCCTAACAGCCAGTAGTGTCTTAACAGTATTGCCCTAATTAAAAGCAAGGTGTATTTTTAAATCAAAGAGAGCTGAAAATTACCATGCAGTACATGGACATATTTAAGGCACAAAAGCCCCAGAAGATCCTGACCAAGGCTTGGCAGCTCATTTCGTTCCCATTTGGGAAAACCATGACAGAAAATTTGCTGGGTTCAGAAAGCTTCCTTACAATTTGCCTGTGTAGCTGAGCACACTAATAGGATGGGCTTTTTCTTCCCCTCTTTTTCTTCCCAAGTTTGGTAGATTGCACCATTTTATAGGCTACATCTCTTCCAACTACTCTGTGATCTGTAATATGCTCTTTTATCTAAGGATTTCAAGGACCTTTACAAACACTGATTAATACAGCCAGATTGGTATTTTACAGAGAGAGAAAATAAAACATGGAATGATTTTCAGTTGTCCAAGGTCAGTCAGAAAACCTGCAGTAAAGCCAAAGACAAATTTTCTTGGTTCTCATTCCAAAGTCTGTTTCCAGACTTCTAAGTCATTACTACATTGCTACCTTAGAAGCTTCCCATAAAGACAAAACATCACATGTCTGTGAGAGTGTCTGAACCCAATTTTTGGCTGAAGGTAACTATTTTTCTGAGCAGCAACAGCAAATTGTAGTGTCAGTGCGCTAACGTGACCCAATGAATAATTTTTCTAAGTGCTGTCCTGCTGGAGAGCAGAGATTGAAAGCCAATGTTTCTCCAGGTGCAGAACCAGATCTCAGCTAGAGTAAATCATCCCAGCTGCACTTCAACCGAGCAATGGTGCTTTGCTGGTTCACTGAGGCAAAGGATGATTTCTGCAATGTTTTGTAAAGATGATTTCATAAACACACATCATTAGGGAAAGAGCCAGTTACTTTCTTACGGTCCTAAAAATCTGAGATTGTATAATGCAAGGAGATAAAGCATAACTTCTATTTAATAAAAGCTGCACAATTTTTACATTCCACAGTACAGCAGACCATTTGCCAGGGAGTCTTAAAAAAATTCCTGCTGATCTAAATGGAGAGCTCCAATATTATCAAAAATTACTGCAGCAATACCAAAATCTGTCTGCAATCTGAGTTGTGACTATATTCACATGTAATTTTGGAATAGGTCACAAGAAAATTAGACACTGGAAATTATTTTTATATCACTGAGTTTTCTCTGATGTATCATCACTGACTTCTTAGGAGTCATGTAGGAAAAGACTTGGACCAAGTTTGGAGCTAATAATCCAACAATCCTACAATGGTTTGGGCTAGAAGGGATATTAAAGGCCATGTAGTTCCAAACTGCCTGCCCTCCACTAGACTGCTTTACTCAGAGCCTCATCTAACTTGGCCTTGAACATTTTCTGGGATAGGGCCAATGAGGGGAATAACATCCTTAATATTTCTTTTGCTTATCCCATTAAGGGCTCTAACTCAGCTTTCCATATATAACAACTGGAAAACAAGAATCCAGTACAGTATTATGCACATCACTCTCTAACACACAGGTAGAGCATAACTCAAAATAAAATGCCATGAAATATGCTTGGAAAAATGTCAATGCTTGGAATAACCCCAATGAAGTCAACAGGTCACCACCTGCAGTGCAATTTTTGTGTAAAGTGAACATGTCTGAGCACATCTCTGAGCCAACAGCAGAACCTAGGCTCTTGTTTATCAGTTTTTTTCATGACCTGCTCCACTCTGCCCCATCTTCTTTTCCATGCTTCAGAGAGACCAGAGTGGGTTTGGAACTTCCTTCTCTCAGTTTCTCATCAAATGAGCTGAATATTTTATGGAAGATAAGGAATCACTGCAAACTCTTTCATGAATACTAACCTGAGTACAAAAGAATTGATGTTCTGTACCACATATTCAAGTAAACAGTGCAACTACAAATGTTTTAAAATAATAAGAACAAGATCATACATTTCTGTGAATCCAAGAAGAACACTTCCACCTGTTTTTTTTTTTTCCTTCTAAGGAGTCAAAGCAAGTAAAGAAAAACATACATGTTGCAGGTGTCTCTCCTACTGCCCTACACACAAGACACGTCCAGGCAGTTTTAAAGTTCTAAGTAACAGTGCAAGCAGTTTGGCCTAGACCCTTGGCTCAGTAAACCAGTGATGTGCTTTATATCCACAAGCATCTGCTCCATTACATATCACTGACAATTACTTCTACAAGCACCAGCACAAGGTGGGCAAACAGCGAGTTTCGTCTCACCTACACCTCATTTGCAGCTGTAGCAAATGCATTTGACATCCCACCTTTGGAAGGAGACTCAGTTCCTATCCTGGATGATGCTTCCCAGCACTCATCCAACTCTTCTAGCACACCTATGTGCTCATGGACTTGGAGGCTGTCTCTTCTCAGAGAAGCAGCTTGTCAGCAAACCCAGCTGCATCCCCACCCTCCTGAGGACTGTAACCATGGCTTTATTTCCATGCTTTAAGGAAAGATGTTACCACTAAGGGGACATCATTCCCAACCCACAGCAGTAAAAAGAAGATGGAGTAAGATGCATGAATCTGAATCCATTTAAAAGAGATAGAGATGGAAACTGGAAGAAAACTCAAGCCCAGACTGTCTCTGATGAGTCTCAAATCTTCTACTTCCCTGGGTGATAAAATTTGCCCCACTTGAATAAAACACAGTGCATTGGAAGCAGCTGGCTTCTCTAGTGTCAACATGTCCTTTCTGGAGACAAGACTGAGTGTCTACAATGCCCCAAGCCCCCCAGGATCCTGGTTAATGCTAATTTAGTCAGCTATTTCCTTCAGCTGACCTTGGTCTAAATGCAATTACCCTGCAAAGAAGTTAAGTGGTACTGCTAAGATGCTCAGCTCTGCTAGAAGGTCTCCAAATACATTTACATAAAATTATCTCTCACGTTAATAGAAGAGATTTATTCCATCAGTCCAGGCCTGCTAGTTCAGAGTGTTTTCTGCAGTTGAACAAAATTCAATTTCTTGTAGCCTGAGTCTCATCTTTTCAATAAATTATTACCAGAGTCCACCTATTGCCTCTGATTTTTGGTTTTTTGTTTGTTTTGTCCTTCACTACTGTTACTTAAGACTGTATAGATTCTTGTTTTACAAGGAAAAGCAGTCTCCATTTCTCCTCTTCTTTAATTAGACTTTTCCTTTTAATTTTTTTTTATTTGTCATAAAAACTTGTTTGAAAGACCAAATCATTGTCAAAATGCTATTTACGAGGCCAGATGGTGTATCAGACAATTTTACACTGTTGCTTTGTGAAGTTACCCTTTATTCCCAAGAAAATTAAATTAAGTCTTTCTGCTAAGATCTGGGCCACAGTGGCAAAGCAGGCAGGGGCACTCTGATGCCTTTACGTTCCTATTGCTCAGAGACAAATAAAATTTGACAGACTGTCAACAAAATTCAAGCAGACCAAACCAGCCTTAGAACAGAAGCCAGAAAAGTAAATTCCACAAAAGCCATTTCACCTCATGGGAGCACGTTAAAGATTTGTCTTTAATACTAACTCTGATCCAGTGTCTCACAACCTAGACACTGGTCCTTCCAATGCACTTTAGTCACAGATGTTTTCTGATGACAGTGTGCTTGGCATTTTGAAATACGGGAAAAATACTGTTTCTGTTAAGCATTTTTCATTGTAAGAAGAAAATTCCATGCATCCTCAATCCCACTTTTTCTGCAAGAAATGTATATTCTTGCTTTGACTGAGGATAGGTGACATGGGAAATCTCACTCCGATTAATTTCTGTTGCTCCTCAAAATACTTCCCACATACCTCATTCTCGTTTAAAGGTTTCAATGTGTGAAAATGGTTATCATGACTGCTTAGCCATCCTCAGCCAAGTCATTAATAACAAATATTTTAATGTGACATAAGAAATATTTTTGAACTTACCACTTTAATATTTTATTGGCATATATAAATATATATGCATATATATAGGATTTATCCTTCTCCTCAGGATAAAATTTCAACAGAGCTCCACAGAACAAAAATCCAGAAAGTTATAATTCATTGGGAAGAATGTTATTAATGAAAAATGATCTCTACAGCCTTTCCGTGTGACACCAGTCATGTCAGCTGGTCTGTTTATGTCTCTTTACTGCACCTGCAAAATAAGAATCACCTCCTTACAGAGACATAAGAAGAATAATTGTAGTAATGTGATAATCCCTTTGCAGAGGGATTTTTACATTCTCATGGCATTCATCTGTGATCTGCTCAGTCTGATAAGTGCCTAGAAGTGCAGATGTGCTACAGTCTCTTGTCTTTAGCCTTGGCAGTGGCCTTTTTGCTTGAGAGTAAGAGAGGATAAAGCAAAATGTACCTCGTCCATTTTGGGTTGAATGCGCCCATCTAATGTCAAACAACCTCAGGGCAGCCTTGTACCAGGACAGACAGAGCACTTGGTAGAATGCCAGGTAAAAGCTAAGGGCATCACGATCAAACATACGGACACACAGAAAATGCC